AAAGCATGTAAGGGAGATGGGAATGAGAGAAAGTGAGGAAGAGAGATTGTAAGGCCTTCAAAGGCCAAGTGGGAGATGTTGGGTTTATGTGGCCTTTAAAGGCCATATGAGAGACTGTGTAAAACATATTTTAAAAATGAAACATAAACTCAGTGGGAGTGTCGTCCTTTTGTAGACCATACTAGGCAAATGTTATTTGTTGATACTCGGATTAGGCTCGACGAGCTAGGCCAGCCGAGGTTTGGAAAAATCCAAGATACGTAGGCATAAGGATCTATCAAAAAGGGTTTAGTGGGTTATCCCTTGACGAGGTCGGAGTATGCCTAGATGAGAGCCATGGGACTGTGTGGCCCTTCCGTGTGATAAATAGCCTTTAGAGGCATGACTAAAACATCATCTTTATATCATCACACGACATGTACATAGATAGCTGTTTTGAGATTCGCCAATGAGGGTGAAGCGTGTACATGTGCAAGAGATTACCCCTATGCACCATAGAGTCATGGTTGCATCATGGTCTAGAGGACAATGATTTTGTCTCTAGGGGAGAACTTGAAATCCATAAACTGGGATTGCGTCTCCTAGTCCATTGGTTGACTTTGGTGGTCCAATCATAAACCCCTGCAGTGGACTGTGAGTCACGAGAACTGCTGGGTCAGTTTGAGAAAGCTAGGCGGATTGTGATTTGCAATTAAAGATGGAGTGCTCACATGTATTGATAATTTCCTAGATCTAACAGATCCGATTCCCATCAACATTAATTAATTTTAATTAACTTTTTTATTATGTGATTTTTTTTAGATTGTTTATTTGAATTTTTATGAATCTTCTGATATATTTTTTTTGTCATTTGAATTTATAAATTAAAAAAAATTAATTTTTTAATGTTTTAAATAATCATGGTCCTTTAGATTTGAGCCATGTTTTAAGTAATTAATTTATAATCATGTTTTAAATAATCATGGTCCTCAATTCGTATGGTCAAATCTCAAGAGAGACTTTTGAGGTGAGAGATTTGAGTCATTCATCTCCTTTAAATATGTGGCCCAAAATTTAAAAGGATTTGGATTAGGTGGGGCCAACACGTGGTCGGTGGCACGCCCCACCCATTCACGTAACATCTTTGGGAAGAATGTTTATCATCTTGGTTGGCTTATCTTTTTAGGTGTATAGCGAACTTATGTGATAAGGTTGAATATTTGATATATTTACTAATTGTTTGAATCAAGATTGATTGATCAAATAATTAAGGATAGGATATATTAAAATGTAAATTTTTCTTATTTGATGGGAATAGATTTAGAAAACGAAGGATAAGGCTCTAGCTCATCTCTTTGAATCTTGATGGTGGATCAAGGAGATGGATGGATAAAATCTCTCACCCCACAAGTCTCCCTAAATCGAAGGTTGAGATTTAATTCTACAAATTGAGATAAAATCTATGTCATAGAAAATCTATAAAATGAGGTCTCCCCCTTCAACAAATTACGTATGTATTCCCTCTCTCCATGTGCCAAAATTTAGCTCTCTTTGGAAATATTACCAAATAGAGGCACACCTCAATTTTATTTCTCTCTCTCCAAGTTGTATTGGGTGTCTTTTTTTTTTTTGGGGAATTCTCTTTGGGTGGCACACCTAAGCTTAGGTAGTGTTTTTTTTGTGGGTGGCAAAGGGGTGAACCCTTGCTAATATATCTCGCCCTCTCTCTTAATATCCATCTCTCATCCCTCTAAAATCATGCTAAGAGCCTTGATCAAGATCAAGCTATTGAGTGGGTTTTTGCTATAGTAGGAAATTCAACATACCGATCACAAATCCCGAGTTCCATCGAAAAGAGGAGATTCGGGGAGGGGTTACTAAGCTCGGTTGAGGTAATCTCCGGCAATTTTATCTTTTTAAATATTTATTTATATTTTTTCTTCTTTTCCTATAAAGCAATAAAAGTGTAGTTTTTTTGTTGAATAAATGAATTGTATTTGAAGAGGTAGTAATTGAGAACTGATTTTATTTTATTTTTTTAATGTGTAGTTTAATTGTAATTGGACATTGTAAGTGATCTTGCCGGTGTAGGAATAACGATTTTTTTTTTAAAATATATACACCGTGCTTTATCATAAAGTTATTTCAATAAGAAGAGGAGCTTGAATGCATATCTAATGAATAATCTTTTTCAAAAAATTTCATACATACGTAATATGATTTTCTAATAAAGGATCATTTTAAAAATTGAATGCATATCTAATAAGAATTTAAATGTGGAGAGAGACTAAGTTGAGGGAGAGAAACCAAGTTGAAAGACAAAGGGAGAGAGAGACCACGTTGAGAGAAAGAGAGAGAGACTAGCGTTACTAAAAGAGAGAGAAAGGCTAAGTTTTAAATGTGGAGAGAGAGAGAGGCCATAAAAAGAGGCTTGCATGCATATCTATCATGGGATCACGTTGAGAGAAAGAGAGCGAGAGAGAGAAACTAGGGTTACTAAAAAAGAGAGAGAAAGGCTAGGTTTTAAATGTGGAAAGAGAGAGGCCTTAAAAGGAGGCTGGCATGCATATCTAACAAGGGATCATCCCCAAAAAAAATTGCATGCATATCTAATAGGGTTTTACATACGAAGAGAAAGAGATGCCATAAAAATTTGCATACATATCTAATGTGGTTTTCAATATGGAGAGAGAGAAATGACATAAGGAGTTTACACATATATTTAATAAATAAAAAAATAGATATTAACATAGAAAAAAAATGACACTTGTCAACAAAATAAACAAGGTTGGCTGATGGGAGATGCTTTCTCTCTAATGTTTTCATCTCTTTTTACATATTCATATTATATATTTTTTGAAAAAGGTAAAAAACTTACCACTTTCTCTTCCTAATATGTTTATATATTTATAGGTATTTACAGTTCATATATTTAAAGGTATCAAATATATTGTTGTTTATAGTACAAATCAAAGAGATCTCCGAATAGGATTCCTTCAGTTCTGAACACCACAAACTGATTTTTTAAAAGAGAGATGTGTGATAGAGAGTGTGACAATCAAATTCTGATCTGATGCCAGATCTACTCAGAAGTGAGCAGATCTGCTTTGAGATCAGTGGCAGAGCCAGCGTTGATCCGAAATACGAAATATAACATAAAATACAATAAAACTAATTTAATTCTAATAAAATAATAAAAAATAAAAATAAATACAGGAAAGAGTAAAAATGTACTAGACTGGGTCAGTTGGCCTGATGCTCCTGAGGCTTCGAGGCCTCGCCCATATCAGTACTGGTTGAGTTTATGACGTACGTCCTCTTTGTTTCTCTTCATGCTTTGACCAGGCCTTGGTTTGGTTGAATGGATTTTTTAATCTAAGGGCTGCAGGCCTAAAGCTAAGGTTTTTTTAGGTCTAGGTTTTTCAGGTCTCACAATCTCTCAGTTTTCTCTAGGCACACACATGCTAATAAGATTTCATGTGTCTAACTTAAAATGATCTCGAAATGATCTATTTATATGTTGAAAATCGTCTGGAATGGGTAACATACCATAACCAGATGATTTCCCAGCCTAGACTGTCGTTTTGGTGGTCCAAGGTTTGGGCGACACTAGTAGTGTCGCTTAAACCAAAATGGTCCAGGTTCATTGAGCTTGGCCAAAAATGACTCGGGAGGGGTTAGCACGTGGAAACTGCCAATTTGGGGCAGTCGGAGCCGGTCGACATTGGAGGCGTTACCAAAACCAAATCTGCTCAAAATTGACAGATTCCAATTTGGGGTGATTTTGGGGTTGTCAGGATGCTGCTTGCCAAAAATCAGCTGATTTGAGTCAGTCTGGGTTGGGTGACACTGGAAGCATCTCCCGAGCGACACTGGTAATGTCACCCAGACCAAATTTGCCCAAAATTAGTAGATTCCTGTCTGGGCTGATTTTGGGGTTGTCAGGATTCTATCGATTTGGGTCAGTTTGGGCTGGGCGACACTGATAACGTCGCCCAAACCAAATCTTCCAAAAATCGCAAAATTCCAGTTTTAGGGGAATCTACGGGCTCTTGTGATGCTGCCTGCCAAAATTTGGGTCAAAACAAAGTGTTTTGTTAATTTTTAATGTTTTTTTACTAAAACATGGTATTCTGCAGGATTCTGGATCACAAGGCAGGCAATATGAACTATGATGGTCTATGGTCTGAGGGTTTACTGGGATAGTGTGGTCCTAAGAGTTCAAGAATATCACAGAATTTACCAGTTTTAAAAATGGGGTTTCTATAATTGTGGATTTTTTACTTTGAGAAAAAGTTATCTTGTGGAATTAAAGTCAGCATCAAACCATTCCAAAAAGATGTTTCTAATAATAACATCATCACCATTCTAGAGAAAGAGACAGATAGAGAGAGAGATAAAGGTATTAATAATCACCATTCCAAAGATAGAGAGAGTGCAAAGTATTGATCTTAATCCTCACCATGTTAAAGAGATAATGAGAACATTAAATAAAATTGTCATGTTCCAACAAGATTTACTAATGTTATTATAGATATAGAAACTGATAGAGAAGTTCATCATCATCCACCAAAAGAGAGAGAGATAACGTATGTGTACGTGTATTAGAGAGTAAATATAGCAATTCGATAACAAAAATTCCTAAGTTCAAAAACCATCTCGATCAAATAGAGAGAGAGAGAGAGAGAGAGAGAGAGAGAGAGAGAGAGACGAACTAATAAATAAGTAGTATACTACTACTACTTACTATCGTACCGACCCGTACCTACGTAAATAACTTACGTACGTTAACTTAACAAACCTAAAA